GCCTTGTTGGTGTTTGAACATCCTTGCGTAATGGAAAAGCAGAAGTGTAGAGTGTTCTTTCCGGAGGAATAGCAAGTTCTCCGCCGTTGGAGATGGGCTTTTATGTCCTGTACCAGTTCCAGGGTCCTGCTCCCGGGCACTGTGCATTGAGGCATTCAGTAAATTCTTCCGGAGTGCTCTATTGTGGCTTCTTGAAGCGTCGCATCAGCTGAGCATATGTCACATACCAGAGATGGTGTTAGGTGCTTTCACATAGGAGATCGTTTCCACCATACACTTGAGAACTTGTTATTATACCCATTTTAGAGATGAGAAAACAGAGACTCAGTGAAACTAGATTTGCCCAACTTTACACAGGTAGAAAATGGTAGATCATCTGTCTGAAGCCATGGATATATGAGTTACTTAGCCTTTCTGAACATTTATTTCCTAACCAGGACAGTTAACCCAGGCAGTGTGGGTGTCAAGAACAAGGCATCAAGAGTTGGAGGGTTCTGAGTTCAGTCTCTGTGCCACCTGATGACTGGTTGACCTTGAGCAATTTTCTTAAAGTCTCTGTGCATTAGATTCCTCACCATAAAATGGAAATGATAAAGGTGCCCACTACTGTAGGAATGGGTGGCAAGGATGCAATAGGCAGCAAGTGCAGGGTACTTAGCACAGTGTATGAAAGTGTTAGTATTCAGTGACTGTGTGCCATGGCCATCCGATAAAGCCGGTGAAGCATTGTGCAGAACTCTCCTTGTGCATGGCAGACCATCAGTGAGCATCTCTTTCTGTTTTTGGAGAGGGGGAAACAGCGATCAAGGAGTTTCTGCATGTGACAAGAATTCCTCAGGTTGGGAAGATTGGAATGAACCTTATCACTAATAGGGAATAGTGCAGAAGATTTCCCAGGACTCTACTCTCTTAAAATATGTGTGTGAAAAGTGAGGACTTGCTATAGAATGTCATATATTGGATTTTATTACCACGTTGCCTTGTATTTCTAAAAACCATGTTGCAAAGAATGTGGGGGAGATAGGGTGGAGCTGGCCTAGAGGTACTAGCAGGTATGCAAAGCGTAGAGACCAGGTTCCGGTCCAGCTCACAGTCCGACGTGGGCGCCGGGAGCTGAAAGCATGGGGGTGGCCTGGCCCCTGGGCACTGCAACCACCACCCCATCCCTGTTGGACCGTCCCCACCATCACAGAACCATGTCACTAATTCTTCTGTCTTAATTGTTTTTGTCCTTTCTTGACCTCGCGCTCTGCCTGTACCTCCCCGTCCACCCAGCTGTGCCCCGTTTTTCTGGCAGACTCCAGCAAACTCCTCAGAAGCCTTGTCTGTACTCAGTCTCCAGGTTCTTCCCTCCCTCACTTAAACCCCCTCTAGTCCAGCTTTCCAGCCTCTACACTCCACCGTAACTACTCACTGCCAGTGGCCTCCGTGTTGCTGAATCAGATCAGTACTCAGATCTCATTGCCCTTGACCTCACTGTCTTTGAGGCCTTCTTCACTTGGCCCCCCCGGACTCCCCACTTCCAGCTCCTCTCTGACCTCGGCAGCCACCCCTTCTCTGTCTCCTTTGATGGCTCCTCCACATCTCCCCATCCTCTTCAAGCTGGGGTGCCCCAGGGCGCTGACCTGGTACATTAACTACTTTGTACCCACGTATTCTTTGATAATTCTATCCATGCTTATGATTTTAAAAATCATCTATTTACAGATTTGTATCTCTGACCAATTTGTTGTTGGAGATTCAACATCATGAATCTAGATTCACGTATCTCACCATGTACTCACCATCTCCACTTGCATATCCATTGGACATTTGAAATGTGATGTGTCCAAACTGAGCTCCTTGATCTTGCCCTACACCACACCCCAGACCTCTCCATTCCAGGCCATGACAACGTGTTCGGACCAGTTGTTCAGGCTAAAACCTTGGCATTATTCTGGCTCTCCGTTCTCTCACACCACACATCCAGTCCGTGAGCAAATCCAACTGGCTCTACCTTCAGAACATACTCAGAATCATCCTCTCCCCAAGGACTGCTCCGCTAACGGCTAGCCGGCCTCCCTGTGTGGCCTGGTCCCACAGTCCCTCCCCGACATGACAGCCAGAGTGATGCTGGTGAGGCGTCAGCTTATGTCACTCCTCTGCTTGAAACCTTCCATTTTTCCATCTCAGAGTAAAAGCCAAACCCCTACTGTAGCTTATGACCTGCACCTTTTGACCAGTTGCCTCTCTGACCTCATCTCCTACCCTCCCTTCCTGCTCCCTGAGCCATTGCTCTTCTCCTGGCAAACCAGCCTGGACAGGCCAGCTCCCTGAACACGCCAAGCTCGTCATCTCTCCCAGACACCTTCCTGGCCGGCTTCCTGACAGCCTTCATGCCTTTGCCCAGACAGAAGGTCTCAGACAAGTTTTCCCTGATGATTCTATGAAAAATTGCCTTCTTAACCCCTCCCAGATATGTTTCTCCTTAACACCCATGTACTTTATATTATACTGTATGATTTACTTATTTATTGTGTTTCTAGTCTGTCTCTCCCATCGCCACCATGAGACTATAACCCCATGAAGGTAAGGGTTTGTTTTATTCGCTCTTCATCCCCAATACCTAGGACAATGTCTTTCACATGGTATTCAGTAAGTATCTGGATGGATGGACAGGTTGGAGGCTACCTAGGTATGATAATGTGATTTATAAGAAATATATAAACTTTGTCATGGAGATGACCAAAATATAATTCTCATAGATTTTGGTCTTCATCCACAGTTCCTGGCTCACAGCTCCCCAAACCCTTGGAATTTCATAAGGGATAAGAGCAATGGGAATATCTTTTGTTATTATATTTGGTCTCCTGTGCTCAGTTCCTAAAAATGTCTCAAAGCCTTAAAGCTGAAATGGGTGTCATGTTATTCATAACAAGACCCACCCCACCACCAGTAGGTGGTGGTGATGAAGATGACTTTTGGAAAACACCAAAGGATGGGGACTGGGTGTCAGGAGAGCCAAACACGAATGGAGGGTCGGACCTTTCAGTCCCACCCCCTGATTTCCAGGGAGGGGAACCAATCACGACTGGCCAATGAGTTACTCAAGCATGCCTATGTAATGAAGCCTCCATAAAAGCCCAAAAAGAGGGGGTTGGGAGAGCTTCCAGAATGTCTCCACATGTCTCCGTGCTGAGCCCCGCACTCCACAGGACAGAGGCTCCTTAAGGACCTTGCCCTGTGTGGCCCCTCCTCTGACTGTTGATTCATATCCTTTAACATCCTTTTTAATAAATCGGTAATCTAGTGAGTAAATGGGTTTTCCTGAATTCGGTGAGCTGTTTTAGCAAATTAATCCAGTCCAAGGAGGGGGTCGTGGGAACCTCTGATGTATAACCAGTCGGAAACATGGGTAACCTGGGCTTTCGACTGGCATCTGTGTGGAGGGTGGTCTTGTGGGACTGCGCCCTCCCCGTGGAGCCTGATGCTGTTGCCAGGTAGAGAGCGTCAGAATGGAGTTGAATTCTCAGGCACCCTACTGGTGTAGACCTGCTTGTTGGTGTGGGGAAACCATAGACACACACACACACGAATTGGATCCAGGACCCCCAAAGTCTAGGCTTCCTTGGCTTTCAGCCATTGCTAACACCACAGGAATGGACTGCCAGGAGAACACTCACCCCCTTCGCCCTGTGGCTTCACTCAGTGGTAAGGGCCAGACCGTATTCATTCACGTGATTTAAGAAGCTAAGACAAGACCAGCAGACTATGAACTGGTCCACTTTTCAACAAATTCTTTAGTTTTGATGTAAATATTTATTATCTGCTTTTCCCATTTAATTAAAAAGTAATTCACATAAGAGAAAACTTGAACAATACAGAAAGCTAAAAAGCAGGCAAAAATAACAAAAAGTACCTTGAAATAAAGAGCTGTGGGGTGACCTTGCTGTATTTTTCTTCCTAAGCCGAGGTTTGAGGGATGTATCTCCCCAGTAGGTAAAAGAGGAAAAAGCATATATGCAATTTCCATCCTATTTTTTTCACTAAACTTGATAAAATAAACATTTTCCATGTTAATCTGATGATTGATTCATTAACAGCATTTTGGTAGCTACAAAATGTTCTCTAGTGGGTGAGTAGTTGGTATTTAACTGGCCTCCTAGTGTGGGAACATTTTGACAGTGTCCAACTTTTCACGATTACACATTCTGCCACCATAAAGGGCTCATTTTTTCTCAGTAACAGCTTTTCTCAAATCACTGTCTTTTGCCAGCAGGGCTCTGAGAATCTAGATGGGATCTAAGCTTGAGCTGTGGACTCTGTGACAGGGACTCCATGGGGGCAGGACTGTAAGGAGAGATGGGTGGGGGCAGTGTGAGAAGGGGGGCGGGAAGTAGCAGAGCAGTTTTAATAGTTTTTTTAATATAAAGGGTTTTTAATTTTTTAAATTTATTTAAAAATTATTTTTAAAATAAAGGTTTTTTCTCATTTTAACTGTAAATGCATTATATGCTATTTGGGAAATACATGTGTTCTAAATGCATCTCCACCCCAATTTAAAGCAACATGAGTAAGGTTTTCTTGGTCTCCAACCCCATCTCTATACACAATCTGGTTTCATAAATTTCCCTTTGATCCCAGATATTTCTGGAGGCCCCGAGGGTCACCGCGAACCATGGCAGGCCCCACTTCTGTGGTCACTGCAGGGGGCACGGAGGCAACGAGGCTTCCCTACCCCACAGTTTCTCAGTTGAAGAACTGTCTTTTGTCTCTGATAAACCAGGGCTCTGTGGAGACTGTTTGATCACCTAGGGCAAAAGGCAAAGGAACGGTGACCTCCTGACCTCCTGTCTGTAGCGTAACTGGGATGGTACACGGTTCTCCTGAGCGCCCAGTTACAGGGCTGGGCAGGCCCATCTCTCACTTTCCACAACCAGTTGTTCACAGCTGGGACAACTGGGCCCAGAACCATGCCCAGCACAGAGGCGCTCAGTGCCTATCTGTGGCCCACCGCCGGATGATCAGCTACAGAGCTGGGTGAGCTGGAACCTGCCACTCCAGCCCCTTAGCAGGTGCCCTCAGTTCCTCGGCCTCTCCGCCCTCACCCCCTCCTGGTTTTGCAGGAGTAGATGCCAGCCCCAGCAGTACCCATTACGCAGGCACAGTTGGCCATGGCCAGAGCTGGGCTCGCAATGGCTCTCTGCACCCCTCTGGCCCTCCATAAGCAGACATGGCCTGTGACCATGAAAGTCTTGACCTCAACCATGAAGCCAGACATGACTTTGGCCATCTGGTAGGCATGATGCTGTGGAGGACCCTGGCGCACCTAGTAACACATGAGCAAGACCCCAGTGCCAGAGGACCTCAAGACTCCAAGACATGTGTCCTCCAAGTGACCAGAATAGGCACCAGTTGGCTAGCTCTGTCTCTTGCTGCCAAATTGCCTCTGTTTTTTGGGACACTTGTCGAGATGTTGGTGAGAATGGCTGCCGCCCCCAGGCCCTGCTCAGCTGCTGAGAGCACCAGACTCCCACCTACTGTCACAGGCACCAGGCCCAACCCCGGGCTGCTCGTGACCACACCCAAATAGCTGGCTGCCAGGCTGGGCTTGGTGAGCCTCCTGTGGGTTGCATCAACTTGATCTGCAATAGAACTGTGTTCCTTGATACACTTTTCTTTCCAGCTCATGCTTCTGGGCGGGAAAATGTACGAGAATTTTCCCCAACTCTGGTGGATTTCCATCTGGCATGGGCTCTTGGTCACATCCTATCAGCTCGTCGAGCAGAGTGTAGTAAGGCACAGCAGCCACATCCCTGAGGCACATGTCATGGGGCTGTTTTCCCAGCTCTGGGACAGGTTCACCAGTGAGGCTAAAACCTTTAGATCATCTGAGTTCCCAAGCACCCGGGCAGCAGAGCCCTGGGAATTGAAGTACAGTTGTGGCCTGGACCCCTAGATGGCTGTGCATTCATAACAGGAACCTAGTTCAAACACTCCCTGGGCACATTGTGTCCCCCATGGCATTCTCTTCTAGCTGCATGTGTACCAGTGTGATGAATGAAGGGTGCCTTGGAAACATTACTGACGGGTATCACCAATCTTTTCATAATGAACATATATATGTACATGTGCATACATGTGATTTATACATAAGTGACTATGTGCAATTCTGATCAGAGGAACAGGAGTACTTAGAGCCTAAAGAGGAGATGCCTGATTTTCTGTATGTTAAAAGGGGATCTCTGTGAAAATCGGGGTTGCTTCTGGGGAGGGGGGAGGGGGAGCTGTTTGGAACGCTTAAGGGAGACTCAACTCTTTACTGTTTGACCTTTGGTCCCTTTTAAATTTTGTATCATGTGCCTGTATTAGAATTATTCCAAAAAATTAATCAAATAACCTATACTTTCAAAGAAAAAGGTGTGGGGACCTCTGAAGAGACCCCCCAAATGTCATCTTTTCCATAGGGGAAGGTTCATTGTTTGTTATTCTGTTTGACAGTGTTGTGTATTTTGGAAACAAAGTCGATTGCTAACAAAAGGGTGGTCAAGCTCAGAAACAGCAGGTTCTACTCTGCTCAGTCCTTAACAAGCCAGCGGGAAAAGCACAGTTTTTAGAGAAAGTGATGAAAAAGAAAATAAATGTACGGCTGAGAAAATTCTCTCCATTAACTCAAAATTTCCCTATAGTTTAGAAAAAAGATCACCATTATTCAGTTTTCCTGTGGTATCAATTTGATCCAGCCCCGAACACCAGCCTTCTGCAGGATCTTTGAGTATCACTGTTCTAAATAATTATGTCTTACAGGATTTGGGGTTTCCAAAGTGGACCACATTGGACTGTGTAGGACGCTGCCGTCAACTTCCGCAGCACAAGTCTGACTTGTACGACCCTTGGGCTTGTTGCTGTCTTTCTCCTGGTTGAGCATCCACAATGGACTGGGCATGGGCTGAAGGGGTATTTGAAGGATCTATGGGCAAGAAGGCAGGGCTCATGGCAGAACCATACCAAGACCAAGCATCCCAAGGCCTCAGAGGAGCTGCGACAATGGCATTGGAGCCCTCTTCTCCCTGGGCAGGCCAAGGGCGGCCTCAATGGGCTGACATCCCACCAGCACCAAGTCATTCTTTAATAAAGGCTTAGAATTTTCTTTGGGACATGATGCACACCTTGGAGTGCAGCCCCCTCCAACCGAGATCTTACAGCAACGGGCTCTTAGAATGTGCAGGCCCACCAAGACCATGGGGGAGAGATGGCAAAGGGGCACAAAGTCCCCCACCGATGTCGGTTGGGTGTCTAGACCGTGTTCACGAGAACTGTGCGGCCGTGTCTGGACTCTTTGAGAACAAATGCTGCAGCTAACCCAGGATGGTGCCTGTTGGCCCAGCACAGAGCACGAGTGACGCCTCTCACACCTTCACCCTCAGGAAGGCCAAGGCCCTCTTTCCACAGAGGACAGAGCTGGCCAAAGGGCGAAGTGGCTTTCCCTGGATTCCAATCTGGTTAGCGATGGAATCAGGGTAAGATCCTAAGACTCAGGCTCCCCAGAAGCTCCTGGTCAGCCTCATCTGCTGGTTGAGGCTCATACACATCTGAGAAAGGAAAAACCACCTCTGTGCCTTCGCCAGAGGAGGGGAGATAAACGTGTGCATAGGCCCGTTGGATGGACCTGATTCACTGTACGAGTCAGGTTCATCAGCTGGCATCCAACATAAAGGGCTTTGTTTTGCGCTATCTCTGGGTGAAGGGGAGCTGGGGGAGGATTCGGAAGAGTGGACGGGGCAGGGTAACAGAGCAGGGATGCAGGATGCGGGGTCAAAGACATGGATACCCAGAAGGGGTTGCTCTGGCCTGAAAAGGCAGACAACTCTAGTTTGCATGACTTAGGAAGGTTTTAGGAGTTAAGAGCCTGGGGTAGGCGGGCAGCTCATTTCCAGAGCCCTATGGATGCTTCGGCAAGAGTAAACACAGCCCGTGTGAGGAGTGTGACCCTCCAGCTGGGCTCAAAGGGAGGCTGAATGCCCAGGCAGAGCCGTGGAAACACAAGGCCCAGACATTCTCATGGCTTGGGCAAGAGGGGAAAGGCTGGGGAAAGAGCACCCCTGGATGGGGGAAAAGGAGCAAATTCTGCTTCTGGGGATCCATCCTCCAATAGGCCAAGTGTTTGGGTGCTTACTAAGGTGCTTACCAAAGTTCTTTAATTAGCTTTCCTAAGAAAAGTTTTTATGAGGATGTGTAAATCCTTTTCCCCCCTTTTTATCCATTTCTGATTGCAAATGGAGATAAATGAGACAAGACAATCAATTCCCCAGCCAACTTTGGTGGAACACATGTGTGTATTTCACATTGTGAAGATGGTGACATCATAGCCTCAAAACCTGGATGTCACCCATCAAATTTCCTTCCTCCGTTCAAATGCTGGATGCCAGGCTGTGCCAGACACGGTTCTAGATGCTGGGATTGCGGCAGTGAGCTGTCAGCCCAAATCCTTGCCCTCGCAGAGCTCATTCAGGAGATTGCACTCCACATACCTCTTTTCTAGGATTACCTTTCCAAACCAGTTTTCTCTACCCTCTCCTCCCAGGCCAAGTGGATCGAAGAGTAGCCAGTGAATTTCATCCCTAGTCATCGTGGTCTAAAACGGTTTAACAGTGCTCTGGTAAAGTTAACTATCTAGTTACAGTATTGGGAATTAAAAAAGCAAGTTTATCTTAATGTCTCAAAAATCCCACATCTTCAAGAATTCAAGCTAACCCAATAAGGCAGGGAATTGAAATATGACAAATAAGTCTGAAAAAATAGGAAAGAAAACCAGCATTATATATTCATAACTTATTCATCCCATAACTATTATAATTAGTACAAACTCAGGGATGTACAGAGGAGTATTAGAAATGAATAATATTTCTACAGAGTAACAAAACAAGTTGGAAAACACAACATTAAAAGATTCTATACCCAATAGCAATCAAAGTAATTTAAAGTACCAGGGAAATAACGTTAGCACAAATCTCATTTTGGGAAAAGTAAAAATGAAAGCATCCTATGTGGCTGAGAAGGAGAGGGGAACATGCACCCTCAGATGTCCGGTGGAAGCATACGGTGATATATCCTTAGGAAGGATGATTTGGAATAACTCGAAACGTAAGATGTACCTATGCCTGAAACTCAGCCTCCTCCCCCCAGAAACTCCTCCTACACGTCACAGTGGCGTGGACGCAGGGAAACGTGCTTAAGGATGTTCACCAGTTCCTTGAAGTGGTAAAAGGAAATGGAAACCATTTGAAAAATCCATGTAGGGAGACTGTTTACATGAAAATACGCCAATATAAAATAAAGGCTATTGGACCAGGCAAATCTATACCAACTGATCTGGAAAGAGACCCAGAATATATTAAATGAAAGAAAAAAAGCTGAAGAGTATGATCTCGATTTTTTTTAAAGTATTATATATGTGGTGTAGGACTAGGAAAAGATTCTTGAAGGAAATACACCACGTGGGGGGCAGGCTTAGCCCAGGGGAGGGAGGGCTCCTGCCCCCCACACGGTTCACTCATCTGTCATATTAAAATGTGTTACAAGAATCCCATGCTACTTTCATTACAAAAACCAATGAAAGAAAAACTTAATAAGGAGGCATCTTTATCATTCATTCTTTTATCATTACAAAATCTCCAACGTGTATAGTGAGGCGCTTGGTGCAGGGAACATTGCAGAGTGAGAGGCAGAAGTTGGAAAATTAATGTTGCTAAATATTAATACTATCTTTTGTTAAATGCACACGGGACAAGTTTTTCTATCCTGTTCATTTGGTCTTTTCTGTCATTTGGGATATTCTGTTCATTTGGGATATTTCTTATATGCAGAAAATTATTTAAATCTGATTTTTATCAATTTGATACTCTGTTTATTAATGCTATTAATTGTTGTCATTTATTGTCATCACTATTCCACTTTGATTTGGGTCCCATTATGTTAGGCCTCGGCTTTTTATTTCTCTTCTCTCTCGATAGCACACAGACAGGCGTGGAGCACGGGTCCCAGCTGACGCGGCCGGCGGGTGAGAGTGGCCTGGCATGGCTGCCCAGAACAGCTCCCCAAGGTAGAAATGGCTTTGCTTTCTGATCTACCCTGCACCTGGAAAATGGCCAATACTGGCGACACATTAGAATAAAGGCTCATAGTTTATGAAACTCAGTTTTTTATGTTTAAAATTCTGGCGGGCTGGCAACCCAGCCCTGGCTAGAACTCTCCCTTGTTTGGGGAGCGGGTGGAAGGAGAGGGGACGACTGAGCACAGCAGGCTGGGTCTCCGTGAGATGGCATTTCCTTCCAGCTTTACCAAATACTCTGAGCTTTTTGTGGTTTATACGCAGAATTAGGTATAAAATAGAGGCCCGATCATTGGTTTGATCCCTTTGCTGGCTGTTCCCACCAACCACCATATTTCACACTCCATCACATTTCTGTAGTTCAAACGGTGCCTTCTGCTAGAAAGCTCAGAATGTCACACTCACACTACCTGGGAAGTGGTAACCACCCTTCCCGCCTCACTTTGCCTCACTTCTCCCAAAGTGGACATTTTGCTCCTCGGACTCGCAAAGGTTCCTGACACTGAGAGGCCACACCTGGTACAGGCCGTGGTTGTCCTCTGTTCAAGGACCACATAAACTCAGGGAGCCTCCCCCCACCCTCACCCCCACCCCGCCCCCAGTCCCTCCTCCTGGACTCGGTTGGAAATCTCAATTCATCCACTGGAAGCTGGGGTGCCCCTGAGATCTGGGTTTAAACCACACAATGAAATCCGTTTTGCCAGAGAGCTGTGCTC